GATGTGCATATGTATAATATTATGTACATGTATGTGTGTAATTGGTCCAGGCATGTCTAAGATATAGGTTCAGACGCATGCATGCACATACACACAGACACACGCACAGAGGTCAATCCATAAGCATGGATCAATCCCAATTGTCATTGGTAGTTTCTATTCTAGTGACCACATCATATATGCGCTAGTGTGTGTAAACTAGGAAGTATGGTATACCGGGGGGGGGGGGGTATGTACAGTTGATGAGTAGCTCAGAAGATCACACAGACCGTATGATATACCTTTAATTGAAGCAATCCATCACTGCACAGTCACCACAAGATGCTACACCATCCAATTCGCCAGTCTATTCAAAACCTTACTCCATCAATCTAACAGGCAATTGCTAATTGGACAATAAAATTCTAGAACCTTGAAGGAGTCAAGCAAGGAATCATGCAAGGTTTGTTTGATTGATTTTCAGAACATTATAATGCAGCACTCGATGTGGCAATCAATTAAGCATAGAAGTGTCATTTTAATGATAAACTATTGATCTTGCAGAAAATAGAACACATGTGGGACTTCCTATAGAGAAGGTAAGCCATAAAATGTATTCCTTACTTTGCTGTAGATTTAGGAAATACATGTAGGGCAAATAATCAAAGCAGTACAATAAAACAGATTTTAATTCTACGGAATTAATTATTAATTAAGCAAAAAAATAAAGAATACATATGATATTTGCATGTGACAAAGATATATGTATTTGAGGGCGCTCTGTAAGTTTAATTCAAAGAAATGCATCTGTGAGCAATGAGCAAGAGTACCCGGCAAGTGCATTATTACAGCGCCCTCACAGGCAAGACTGTCAAATACTTCTGTCTCAGAAATGCAAATGATTGTCTTAAAATACATTGTTGAAAGTCACACAATCCTAAACAATTCAATTTAATTCAATAACAGCATGAATTGTATTAAAGGGAAAGCTATGAATCCCTGGGATTGAACCATAAATTACGAACTTCATTATTCACAGTGTCAATATGTCTTGTTTCACAATTCAATTTTAACACTTATAAGTCTCTCTAGAATCGATGCGAGCAGAAGAAAAGATAGATGTCGCAAGAAAAACCTAACACTACTGCATTATTAGATAAATAAAGATTAGTTTTCACAATTATTTGTTGATAATTTACAAGTATTTTGGTTTAGTCATTTACCATATTTGTGCTACAGTAGCATATGTGCTTTTGTAATTGACAAAGGTGTGTCTATGGTTCATAATCCAGTACATGATAAATTTAAATTTTAGTTTTACTATTTCAGTTTTTACTGCAGCACTATGTACAGTAACTGCTGAACAGAAAGCATGCATACACTTAATTGCCTAGAACTCCTTCCTTCTAATATCAAAGACAAGCAAATATATGTACCATTTGATGTTTCAAATGCAACAGGTGTTTCAAAAACAGTGTAAGCAATTTGCAAAAAAAAAATGACGTGGACTGGCAGTTTAAATAGTGGAATAGGCAGTTCCACAGAGCACCAAAAAGTCATCATGCCATATAATTGAGCACATTGAGTTTTAAATATAAAAGTAAACAAGTCATTATTTGAAAGAAAGCTAATCGATGAAAATGTCTCTAGTGTGGACAGTTTCAAATATTGCGACCTGAATATTGCACAAATATTGAGACAAGGCATGACTACTGCTTGCAAATAATACTGTATTTGTCTGATACTCCATTCTTATTGATGTTTCACGCACATATACATGTATGTGAGCTGACTTGAAAACGCACCTGATAACATGTATGTGAGCCGACTTGAAAACGCACTTGATAGCATGTATGTGAGCTGACTTGAAAACGCACCTGATAGATCAAGTTGGTTGTTAACCAATCTGAAAGCTGGGTGGTGCAAGTCGAAAATTTCTGGATAGCATCAAATGGCAAACGCAACACAACACAGAAGTGATTAGTAAGTGTCACAGTACGGATATGTTGGCATTCTGTTTAAATTCAAATTTTTAGGAGATAAACTGATCATTGAAGAAGTATTTAACACTTCTTACAGTACTTACAGTGTTACCGGTAGTCACAATTTTACATCATATTCTTGAATGAAGGTGACTACATTTTCTGTGACTCATTACAATATTTTTGTATGAATTCTGTTATGACTGTATAAGCACACTGTATGATCAGTGTTTGCATGATAATTGTGTTACAGCAACTACCTTTTTGTGACAATGTATTGTTGGAATGATTAATGAGTAACGTAGAGTAATATCTTTATTGCAATCAAATCCACTTTGTAAAGGAACAATAAAGTGTAAATAAATGGAATAACCAAAAAAGCAAAAAAAAAAAAACAACAAAACAGAATGACATTTATACAAAATATATATAAAATGTGCATTAGGCAAGTAATAATATGTATGGTATTATTATTTTGTGGTTTTAACCGAGGCAGCTGTTAGAGTGCTTTAATTATGAACATATTTTACATATATACATTACATATTTTGCTTGTCCTTATTGAGTATACCATAATGTAATAAACTATACAACCTGGTAGTGTTATGGGCTAGTTCATACACAGATGTTGATTAAAAAACACGAAACACAAGCCATGTGCATACAAACTTTCAGGAAGTGCCCCAAAAAGATGTTAATCTCTTCAGACAGAGATGAAACCACAACTGAAGACCCACTGCACTCACACTGAAAAGCATACCCTCAGGTGACAACCTTTTCATAATCGCAATGTTCCAAGTCACAAACTGATTTTTTTAAAATTTTATTTCAACTCAGGAGCCAATCAGTGGCGGCCTTAAAGTTAGATGATGATTTCAAAAAAGCTAAAAAAAAGTTACATGTTGTTCATTTTATTAGGTGTTACGCAAGGAAATTTTTCACTAATTGTAATTAAGATTTCTGGAAATGATTTTCCTGTAAATTTTGTAATAATATCACATTTCGCCTGACAGTTTCAATTTGAGTGTGATATTAGCTCATTCACACAAATCTATACCTAAATCTTGTAATATACCCTTGCTGTTATGTAATAGTAATAGTAATTTTATTAACACTTACACATTCACCAGAGGGATTGGCAATGGTTACAAATGTTTAATAAGAAATAAAAGGTTAAAAAAAAAAAAAAAATTAATAAAATAAAACAAACTAAGCTAATACATTACAGAGAAATAATATTAAGACCAAATTATTATACTATAAAATGCAAAACTTGAACTGTGAAAGAAGATTGTCACTGGGGTAGCTGTCTTATTTCAAAACACTTCTTTAGGTACCTTGCTACAGGAAGTGTTAGACCACTGTTGTTAAAGGCCGAGGTACTGTAGACTACTTTATTTTCGCTTGGAATTTATTTTCGCTATTTTCACTGGAGGGATAATTCCGTGAAAATAAAATCCAGCGAATATACTTTTTTTCCTATATTTCACATTAAGCTGATCAAAAATCAGTGAAAATAAATTCCATACAAAACACCCAAAAAGCCTTTTCAGCGAAAATTAATTCCAGCGAAAATAAAGTATTCCACAGTATACTATAAATATGCTCCTAAACAATAGGGATTATTTCCTTGCTTGTCACGCTATAGTAAACAGCTTGAGCCAAGCTCCGGTAAAAACGCATTTTCTCGAACTTACAGATCGATTATGTCGTGCCAAAGTGAATGTATGTGACTATGAATATCACAGCAGTGACTGTGTGTAGTATTTATGACAATAAATAGTGTACGAGTTGAGATTTTGGCAGATAAAAGTTTAAAAACACAAACCGGGGAAAGGGACTTGCTACTAATTTTGAATATTAACTACTGTCAATCAATGTCACATGATTTTGGACCGCTGAAACAGGATGCGTCATAGGCTATGCAAGTGATTAACAATACTCATTAGCATAGCCCCACCTACAATTCACACTTGCCCGGGGCAAGTGAATTGGGCCTTTAAACAAGGCTATTTTTGGTGGCAAATTTTTAAAGTTCTGAATTTTGGGTTTTGCCATTTCAAATAGGACATTTCTTACGGGGGTATATCTTTAGCATGACATCATTAGGTGATGCCAGAGGTACATTACTTGGGGTTTGCAATGCGCATAGTACTGTATGGTGACATCATGTCAAGATCCCATTCAAGTCTCATCTCGTAGATAGCGAGACTGATGCTACGACCTTCTGACATGAAATGGGCGGTTTGTAATAATCAATAAAACATGTATTACCACATTCATAGTGAAAAAATGTAATACATCGAAAATGTACAGAAAATATAGTTATCGTATTATCGTCATATCGTGAGCTGCTATTTTGATCCACCTGGACATCTCAGTATCCTAGTTACCTTGGGCATGCGCATTCGCATTTTTCTGAGTTGGAACGCTTATGCGAGAGCGAGATTGAAACGAGATCTTGGTGTCATGTCACAGTAGTTGCAAACCCCAAGTAATGTGTACCTCTGGTGATACTCATCTTCTTCGTTTTTATCACAAATGTTGCATGATCTATTAGCAAGGTGTATTCCTTTGTGTCTGACAGTCTCAATTTTCAGGTTATGATCACTGAGGCAGAATTTAGTTAAATTTTCGCGCATCTCAATATTTTGCAGGGTAACAAGGTAGGTTTCAAAAGTTACGTAATATTGGGTCACAGGTCAATACGGCCATTACAAAGTCAAAAATTTTTAGTAACTTCCTGTTTCACCATTTAAATATTAAAATTAATCACTGTTCATCACACCGAGAATATGTTGATTTCTCTCCGTTTCCATGGATAAAATCAACGTATTGTCTGAACTGTATGTCATTCATTTGCGGACATCAACATCCTGTGAGATCGAATGTTATATTAATCGCGGTGATCGAGCCGAAATATCATTGTGTACATTGCCCCTTCGCTCTTTACAAAGACGTCATAAAAAACGTTATTTTTTCCTGATATGATGCTGATATTTCTAGAATATTAATAAGTGTCAATATTAAAAATCTCACCTTTGGTGTTCGTATATGCTCCATAGCTGTGATTAATAATTCTTTCTCAAAATCAGATCCGCCATTACACATCCGGGTATTTGACACCTGCAAATCCTCCTCGTTCACGCAGTATTTGAGATCAGTCCCCGGCGTATAAATTTCTTGTAGACTGTTCCTTTTTACAAAAACGTATAACGCGCCCTGCATTATTTATATAAACATTACCGGAAATATGGACAAGACAATCTATTTTATTCGGACTTGCCACTGAATATATTATTCTTTGTGTGGATGAGGTGAAAATGATGTCATCCTAAAATGGCGGCAGTAGGCACGTTTGGTGGATTCGGTGCTATCAATCCTGCTGCAACAACAAGCGCTGCTACTGGTGGTTTGGGAACTGCAACAGGCACTGGGTTCAATTTTTCAACTCCGAGGTAGTTATATCCTCCTGATGTGGTAGAAATTTCCACAGATTTCCCAATCGTTTCGCTCACGCAGACACAGTATGAGCCGACTAGACTCAATAATGTATGGTGAATGTTGATGTGCTGTGCACTTGCGTACAGACGACGTCTTCAATCCAATCCCCGGACTCGTACTGTTTGTGTATCTTGACGAGTACGTCTTGAGTTACGGATTCCAAAACTTTTTAACAGTTTATATTACATTCAAATCATACCATACGTATTAATAAACTGAACTACATGTACCGGCGTCACTTCACCGCAGTGGAGCACGTTATTTATATCACAATGACACTGTATTACTATTATATCTGTAATATTAGCTGTGGATTATACCAATATTTTTTTAATATTTTTGTGAGGAGATCATTCGAAAATAATACATTATTGACTTGTTTTTAAAATTAGATTGAGTCTGGCATGCCGGCTCCTCAATCCCCGGGATTACACGATGAACTCATAGGGGATACTCTTGTTCTTGTTATTTAGGCAACTAATCTGGCTTTTGTTACCATTTGACTTTTTAGTCTAGTAAGAAAATAAACTGAAAATTATTCTTACTGACAGCCTCACACTTTAAATTATATTTGTATGGTTGCATGTGATTGTAAGTATGGTAAAGATTTAAGTCATGGATGTAATCTACATGGGATATGTTTGTTAATATTGAAGATTTCTTGGATATATTTGCATTTTACCAATATTTCAATATATTTCAATATTGACGATTTAACTGCACATTGAGTTGTCACCTTATTTTTTGAAAATATGTGGATATACATTGCAGCCTCGTTATAACGAACTCTTTGGGGGACATACATTTAGTTTGTCATTGTAGTGAAACGTTCACTATAATGAAGCACATAATACATTGGGTTTGTTGTGAGCAGGACACATGCTACATGTATGTGTTCATTATATCCAGAAATTTATTATAAAGGTGTTCATTATAATGAGGTTACAGTGTATCCAAATTACCTGAATCCATTTGTATTTCAATCTTGTTTATATTTATATATATATAATCAAATGGTCTATTTTATTGACGATTTAAATCTATGTTGGACTCCATGAAAGTTTTTAAAAATATTTTGATATATACATTTGGTATATACCGGTACATTTTGATTTAAATCTTCAATATTGATGATATAAATTTATGTCTGTCTATCCATGAAAGTTTTTAATATTTGAATATATTTTTTAAATTCATTTGAATTTAAATCTTTAATAATGATGATTTAAATTCAAGTGAATTTAAATCATAAATATTGATGATTTATTAGATTTAATGCTTCCCAAACCATAGTGGACTGTAATCATGTATACACAGGCTGACTGAAGTATTTGTCATGCCATTCAAATTCTGGTGAAATTCGTTTTTGGAACTTTTTGGCAAATCCGACTCTCCCTGATATAATGTGAATAATGAAAATTGTGAAAATCTGAGATTTCTGTAATTTTTTTTACTCGGACATTTTGCATGTGCAATCTATCATTTCTTTTAATTTCTTGAACCTTAGAGGGCGGTAGTTATGCCCCATCGTATTCAATGCATGTAACACACAATTTAAAATGTACAAATAAAAATATAACACCTGAATAATAATGAATGTTTTGACAAAAATAGTAATATTAGATTGAAATAATGCTAGATTTGTACAGCCTTGGTGCAATCACATACCTGTACTATCCATCTTAAATGAGCAAATTATGTCACAGAAGTTATATAACTTTGATGCTGTTTATGTTAGAATAGTGGAACTTTCCAGCTTCCCAAAAATCCAATTATTCTGTGTGTGTAGTATTGATGACAGAGATTAAACGATTTTATTGAAAACTAATGTACATGTATAATTTATATAAAAATTATCATTTTTACAATTTTGTTACAGTGCTGCCGTAGCACCACTTGGAGCTAGTGGTCTGTCTTTAGGATCTGGAGGAGCTGGTCTACTTGGTGCTGCACCTGCTATGTCTACTGCTGGTGGATTCTCTTTTGGTACTCCTGGTACATCTTTAGGAGGTTCACTCACATCTGGCACTGCACCAACGCAGTTAGGTTGGTACTCATTATACTCATTATATGATTTTGATGGACGTCGTTTAATTAGTGATAGACAAGTGACCATTTTGTTTTAACAAATGCTATTCCAGAGCCATATCGTTGACATGCCTTGACCTTTCATGTTAAAACGTAATATATACATCAAACATTACATCAGTCACATAAATGTATATTATGTGCATGTATTTACTTGACAATTCAGAATTCAGGATGGCTGAATTATGGCCATATTTCTATTCAAATTTCATCAAATTAATCAAGGATTTCTGTCCTTCGAACTTGTTCAATCTTGGTATAAACATTGGCCATTATGGGAACTTTATGCATGTTTTTTTTTTGTTTTTCAGATCAAATTTAAAATGGCAGCCTAGTGGCCATTTTGTTTTTAACCAATTCGGTTCCAGAGCTAATTGTGCTTAGACTTTCCTTAGCCATTTGATTCAATAAAAATTCCACATGCTCAGGTTTCATCACAGACCACCATGAAATGTCATTTGAGTCAAACACCTATGTAAAGCAGGATTTGATACATTGATAACACCTGTCAACAAGCAAGCTATTCTCTGATTGGTCTGACCATTAGGTGTTAGGGTTGGGTAGCCAATCAGGCAAGATCTTGTAAATAGCTTTGCATTGGTTCTGAAATGCAAATAACCATGGGAATAATGAGGCCCATTCATTTGGTTAGTGTTTTCCATTGCATTTGTGATCGGTTGAAATTCATTGCATGTATTCCTGATCTCTGTGCCATACAAATCAATTAATCACAATATAATGATTATTTCCAATTCACATTTTCGATATCAAGACTGACTCAATTTCCAGTGTGTATTCTATCATGGTATGAGGTAACTTTACATGCTGTTTGCAACTCGTTTTATATATTTAGGTGTAGCACCTACGCAAGCTACAACATCTACTTCTGCGTTTGGTTTTGGAATGAAACCGACCAGTGCTACTGCTGCATTGAATCTGGCCACTCCTAGTGCAGCTATTAAGCCTACTTTATCGTTAGGATCAAGTACAACAGGAGCTTTAAATCTGAGTACAGGTGAGGACTTCTTTTCAAATTTGAATATGCTTTCATCTCTGTTACGTTTAAATACAATGTTGATTGGGCGTGATGGTGGTGGTAAACTTTGTTTTCGTTCATGTAATATGTAGCCATTGAAAAAATACCGCAAAGTATGCACTCTGGCATCAGTCAATGCATCACCATACTGCCTTTGCATGCATATTTTGTGTTATTGTCGTAATAGCCTCATAATAGTAAGTTTTGCCTTTGAACGGGTTGGACAAATATTTAAAAATATAATACATTACATTAAATATTTGCATGACTTCCATTTCATGATTTTCATAAACAGACACAAATTTTGAAATTTAAAATACTTGATTTCTGTGTCACTTTCTCCGTCAGTCCTCAGGGCATTCCCACTGCCTTTCTATCAGCCCCAAGTGTTTGTGTATCACACTGATGACTTGTTTTGTCTTGTTTGAAAACAGGAGGGTTGGGAAATATATCAACACCATCATCGTTGGGACAATCAGCAGCCACTGGTTTTGGCTTGGGTTCTGGTTTAGGCTTGGGTGGACTTGCATCCTCAGCTAACTCTGGTCTTGGATTAGGTAAAGGCCTAACAACTACAACTACAACTGGCACTGGTGGACTTGCAGCATCAACTGGGCTAGGCCTAGGCTTATCAACAGGTTTAGGTGGCCTTACAACATCTGCTGGTACTGGCTTAGGTGGCCTTACAACATCAACTGGTACTGGCTTAGGGGGACTTACAACATCAACTGGTTTTGGCTTAGGGGGACTTGCTACATCAACTGGTACTGGCTTAGGGAGTTTTGCAACATCAACAGGTACTGGCTTAGGTGGTATCACAACTTCAACAGGCACTGGCTTAAGTGGCCTCACATCAACGGGTACTGGCTTGGGTGGCCTCACATCAACGGGTACTGGCTTGGGTGGTCTCACAGGATCAACAGGGACTGGCTTAGGTGGCCTCACAGGATCATTAGGTACTGGCCTAGGTGGCCTCTCAACATCAACAGGCATTGGCCTTGGTGGGTTAGGAACATCAACTGCTACCGGCTTAGGTGGCCTTACAACCACAACCTTAGGTGGGCTTGGAACTGCTCCCACAGCTACCGTTAGTAGAGGTTTGGGGGGCATTGATCCTGCAACAAGCATTGCCACGTCTACAACTGGAACTACAAGTGCCAATGGAAAGTTGAGGTAAGGCATTTCACTTGTAATAAATGTGAATATGTTGCCATGATACATATATGTATTACTTATTGATTAACCATTTAGTCAATGTATTAAAAGCATGAATGTAGATTTATTCTTGTACAACAAAAGCTGTTAATGAAAGAAACTAAGTCTCTTGTAATATAATCTGCTAAACTTAAAGCTGATTTTATGTAAATTTGAAAGGGTGAAACGTCTCAACCTGAAAAAGTGTGTCTTAAAATATTATCCTGAATCGTTTACAAGTCAGACTAGCACTCTCAGGTTTGTTCATTTTGGGAAGATTTCTTCAATTAGTTTGCTGAATATTTTTGTCATTTTGGGGAAAAATTATATTTTTAACTTTTTTTGGAAAACCGCTGGTCCAATTGCTTTATATTGCTAAACCTTCTTCATTTAGTGACCTTTACACTTCCCTCCAAAGATATTGAATGGTCCAACCCTTGGCCTTAACCATAATGATTTAACCAAAATTTCCACCACATTGTATTTTATACAATACCCAATAATTTGAAACATTCTGATTAAACTAAATAAACATATGCAGCAGATCTTTCTCAACCAACAAGTTGTATTTTTCATATATTGCATGATTGTCATATCTCATTTTTGACTCCTGTGTGCTAAGCACAAAAAGGGAGTCTTTGCAGTTAGTGTGTCTATCTGTGTGTCTGTGTGTGTGTCTGTTTCACTGATATCTCAAGAACCATACATTGATTTTTGATGAAACTTGGTGCATAGATGCTCTGGGCCAATGCGCAGATTTGATTAGGTTTTGGTAAAAATCCCCATGCATATTCATTACCTAATTTGCATGATAATTAGCTGATTTTTAACTGTTTCATGATTGTTTCACTGATATCTAAAGAACCACTCATTGGATTTTGATGAAACTTGGTGCATAGATGCTCTGGGCCAATGCGCAGATTTGATTAGTTTTGGGTAAAAATCTGTGCAATATTAATTACCTAATTTGCATAATGATTAATCAATTTTTGGCTTTTCCACTGATATCTCGAGTACTAATCATCACATTTTAATAAAACTTGGTACATAGATGTCATAGAACACTGCACAGACTTGATAGTTTTTAGTGTAATATCAGTACATATTAATTACCTAATTTGCATAATTAATTAATTTTGAGCTTTTGATATTTCAAGTAGTAATCATCACATTTCAATGAAACTTGGTACATAAGTGTCATGTGACACTGCACAGACCTGATAGTTTTTAGGGTAATATCAGTACATGTTAATTACCTAATTTGCATAATTAATTATTTTTCAGCTTTTGATATTTCAAGTAGTAATCATCACATTTCAATGAAACTTGGTACATAGTTACTTAAAGATTAGTTTTGGGGTAAATATTTGTGCATATTAATCACCTTATTAGCATAATTAGTTAATATTTAGCTTTTCGCCCGATAACTTAAGTACTGATCATCATATTTCAATGAGACTTGCTACGTAGATCCTCCAGGACTATGCAGAGACCTGGTTAGTTTTAGGGTAAATAATTGTAGATATTAAATACCTAATTCGCATAATTAGGTAATTTTTTTCCATGAATGTTCCACTGATATATAAAGAACCACTAATTGGATTTTATTGAGTATTCATCATCACATTTCAATGAACCTAGGACTATGCAGAGGCCCAATTAATTTTTGGTAAATATTTATGCTTATTAATCACCTAATTAAAATAATTAATTAACACTGATATTTCAATTACTGATCATCAAATTTGAATAAAATTTGGTACATAAATGCTCTAGAACAATAGACAGGCCCGATTAATTTTGGGTTGAAATTTGTTCATATTAATTCTCTAATAATAATTCATAGTTTTAGTTCTAATCACATTTCAATGAAACTTGGTACATAGATATTACATTACGCAGGCCTTATTAGTTTTACACTCAAATCTGTTCATATCAGTTATCTGATTTACATAATTAGTTTTCAGCTATTCCATCAATATCTCAAGTAAATTTTGAATTAATTTTTAATGTGTCTAAAATAATCTCAGCACACGGGAGTTCTTTCTAAGCTTTCTTTGATCTCATTGATGATTTATCATTTTATTAACAGTAATAATAAAGCATTGAAAGAGAGTGCATTACCAAATGATATTGTGGTAGCAGTGGAATCATTCAAGTAAGTGAGATGGTTTTTCTTGAAATTTTCATTGAAAACATATTTTAAAATTTAAAGTAAAGATAAACCCTACTCCAGAATTATAGATGGATGGATGGATGTGAACAACACAATGATTTCTGTACACCACAATTCCTGATTCCCGAATTGATAGCATTTGCACGGTTATCAATTGTGTACTTGCACATATTGCGTGCCCTGACATCAACAAACCAGAAGGTAGGAGAGATTTCAACCATTTGAAACGTGCAGAGTCTCAGTACACCAAACATCAATGTTTCAAACTTGCAACGTTAAAACTCCTCTCAAATAAAACTGCCATCATCATTCAACCAACCTCTGAAAATGTGCACCTATTTAGCTTAATAACGAACGTGAAAATTATCTTCGGCTATCGTGTAATATTTTCATATTTTTTGTGGGTATTTTGGGAAAAGTATGTCATGGTCCATTTTCTCTGAAAAATTTTCTTTTTTTAAACTGGAAATCTAGTTTCTAAGCTGTCTTGACTATTTCTTCTAGGTACCCTTGTTTGTACCCACCCACATTCACTCAGCTATTTTTAAAAACTGTTTCAAATATGATGCTGCCTTCCTTCGGGGTTGCATGTCTGCCAGTGTTTTTTTGACTTTTTGACTTTTGTCTCGCCCGCTAGGGTTGGTTATGCATGCGCAAATAGAATTACATTTGGTATTCAGGATCCGGAAATTGCCAACTTGCCTGCTACCCCTAAATAAGGAAAATATGTGGTCTTACATACATCATTCTACACTATGTGTATTCTATTGCTGCAGATAAACACATTGTTGAGCTTGTATGGTCTGGTTTTGTCTTCTTTCTAACAGAGTGTACGTGAAGAAGCAGAAGGATATTCGTGAAGAGAACACACGATTTTCTGCTAAACCTTTTAGTAAAGCTGAAGACGAAACCCAAGCAATTAGACAAGCCTTATCAGTTGTTTCCAACGGTCTACACAGGAATGCTTCTACTATACATAAATTGAAAGAGGAAACTTATCAAGAGTTGAAAAATGCTGAAATTGCACAGAGAACCAAGGAGATACCTCTGGCTTTACAGCTGGATAACACGTCACCTTCAGAGTAAGTTGATAACCTTTATGAAAACACATAGAGTTAGCACTACAGCTGGATAACACATCACAGAGTAAGTTGAAAACCTGTGACACTTTGAAATCACATACTGTTAACACCACAGCTGGAAGTTGAACTTCTTTTGTGTCATAGGAATGATATTTGAAATCACAAACAAATGAAATACAACTGTTTATTACATCTAAAATTTAAATGAATTTGTTTTATTAGCTCTGCTGTCGACAAAGTCGACACAGCGGAGCTGTTCATATTACTGATTGTCCGTCGTCGTCAACTTTACAATTTCAACTTCTTCTTCAAAACTGCAAGAATGTTTTCAAATTTGTTATGCAAGTACCTTCAATGGTTCTTTCTCAGATTTGTTCATTTTATGTCAACATCTCAAATTCTCTATTTTTGGTGAATATTTTTGTAATTTTCTGTAAAAGTGATATTTTCGACTTCTTATTAAAAACAGTCAGATTGCTTTGATATTATACATATTGTTCATTTTCTAATGATATCTTCAGTTCTTTAATTGAAATGTGCCTTGCTAACAGCGGAGCTATCTCAGCCGACAGGCTGCTTGTTTTGAAAGATATATATAATGGTATACTGCAAGACACTATCATACAATTAATCTGTGGCATTGTCTTCTTACCATTTAATTCAGGTATTTTCAAAGACTAGTTGAAGAATTTGAAAAGCAAATGCAATTTTATCGACTTCAGTTAGAAGAACTGGAAGGCCATCTTGGGTCATTAGCGCAGCCATCAGGATATACACCACAAGGTATGCATCCCACCCAGCGATTACCTTACAGTCATGCCATGAAATATGGTTTCTATAGTATGATGCAGTTGAGGATATTGCTCTTTATTCCATGTATCATGCCTGTTCCATTCGTTACCCCGGTATTGCATATTTTTGATATCTAACCCTATAGATCCAATTGGCTATTGATGATCTGATTGGCTGATGCAAAGAAAAACATTTAAACTACACACATACATCTTGCATCTTAGAATATGCATAAATTCGATCCGATTCAAGATAAAAGAATGATGATCATTTTTGTGCTGAAAATTTATCAAAATCAGCATTTCTTCCATTCTAGAACCAGCTGTGTATAACATAAATGGATTTTATTTTGTTCAAACATCAAACACGTTTTCTCTGATCAAGTTCAAAATAGCGAACTGGCAGCTATTTCGTTTTAACAAATCCTGTTCCAATACTATTCTCTGACATGCCTTGATCGATCATGTTCAAATTTTATATATACATGATGTATTATATCACGCATATGGACATTATTTGTTTTTATGGTTTGATTCAATATGGCTGAATGGTGACCATTTTAATGTTAAAAATTCATCAAGATAAAGCAGTTCTGCCATTCTGAAACTGGATCTTGGTTTGGAACAATATCTCTGACACGACATGATTTTTCAAATTTTTATGAATACATTATGTCACATGATAATGCAATTCAATATGGCCAAATGGTGGCCATTTTAATGTTGAAAATTCATCAGAATCAAGCATTTCTGCAATTCTTTGTCAAGATCTTGGTCATGCATAGATAGATTTTGTTCAGACTTGGTTTGTTCATTGAACATTATGACACTTTGATGTGCTTCATTTTGTTTTTCCAATTAGATTCAAAATAGTTGACTGGTAGTCATTTTGTTCCAATGAATTCATTTTCGGAACCATATCTCTGACATGCTCTGAGCACTCGTGTTCAAACTTTCCATATTTCTCATGCATTTAGATAATGCAACAATGTATATTATTTCGGACTGGTTACTATGGAATCCCTGCTTTCTCTGAAATATTTAAAAAGTAAACAATTAGCTGCACTGCACATACATGTATACATGTCATATGCAACCAAATGTTATTCCAATTCCATGACACTTTCCCAAGTCTAGTAACATGCTAGTGATTCAATAGCAGCTACTTTATTTATTATTTTACTGTTTATTTGGTTTACTGGTACTGTGATACACATTTGGACAAAATAGTAATACCACGATGGAAAAGGCGATATTGGTATATCATAACTTTGTGATTCAAAACAGACATGTTCCTTGTTACTGCACCTAAATACTAACAGTTTATCTTCCTGTTTCTCTTTATCCCTTCCTCTCTCCCCCTCTCTCTCCCCCCTCTCATTATAATTGTTCATTAATATCTCCAAAACCGTTAAAAATTCAATATTTTATATTTATTTATATTTCAGAATTATCCCTGATAATGTTCAGACTACATGAATCATTCATTGCGTTAGCTGCTCAGTTACAATCAGTACATGAATCTATTAAGGTGGGTGTGTTTCCATGGTGATATATTGAGAAGCTCCATCAGTTTATGTGATGGAGATGAAAACTAAATTGATCTCTAAAGACCACAACTTCTTATATATGCTAATTGCAATTGTATAGGAACCATCTATTTTAAAGGGCCTTTTCATAAATGTTTGTAAATTCCCTGAATCAGTAAAAAATATTCCAAATTGTAATATTTGCAATTCTTAATGTCACTTGACATTCAAAGAAACCTGATACTCATTGTCGGTCAGATAATTGACTCTAATATTGATTTCATTTTACAGACACAAAAAGAACATTACTTAAATTACAGGAAGATTTTTCATGGTGAAACTAACGATATCTTTGCTGAGAGAAAAAGAATGACTGAGCAGAAAAAACAGAAATTGCCGCTTGCCATGGTGGGTCCTGTTCCATTTGATACAATGTCAAGTGCTGCAGCAGCTGCTATGGCAACAGCAATGACTGCATCACAGAAACCTGGAGGTAAGGTTGTTTGAATATCATTCTGGTTATAATTTTTTTTAGTTCCCGTTCGGATGGTAGTCTGAAACGGGAATTAGTGTTTTTGGTTCTGTGTGTGCATGCATGCGTGCGTGCGTGCATGTGTGTCTGTGGGCAATTGTGTAGATTCTGATCAAGAGGGACTATAAATCACATGCATCTAATACAAAGTTGTTTTAATATTAAATTAATGTCAATAAAGTTGTAATTATGTTGGTCTGTCAGAATGTTACCTTTATTTGTATTTGTATTTTGTTTGATATCCTGATTTGAATATGATTGCAATAAAGATTATCAATATTTTTACCATGTACCTGGACCCTGCCTTTCCCCTACATTGTCTTATGATTCAGGCAATGTGTTCCAGTGTTGCATATTGGGAGAAGATTTGTTTAAGTGAGGTAAAATGTAACACACCTTGTGTTTGAGTCAATGTTTACGGATCGCTGTTGTCACTTCGCAATAGTTAAGATTGAATAGTCTGAAGATCACTAAATTATTTGGTAAGTACAGTGGAGTAATTTTTTTTTTATCTACTGAGTGCGTTTTTTTTATCTTATGTATGCTGCAATAATAGATTTACCTGTTCGTTTATCATTCAAGCTCCGTCAAGCCAGTTATTTATTTAAATTGTGTTGGAGAAATAATATTTTCTTGCGTTTAACTTAAATGTATGTAGCCCTACGTATAATGCTGTGTTGATCGGGGCTAACTAATGGACAATGCCCTAACACACTGCCCTACGCAGTCACGGTTTGTTTTTGTATTCGATTGTCGCAAATAGTGACCATGCATTGAAACGTGTTTTTTGACATATTCAAGACGATCATTCTGAAATACCTGGTTCGATTATCACAATAAAAATTCATTGATCCAACAGTATTGATTTTGAGTGCTGTTACGAGAGAAAACTGAATAACTTCATTCAAAACGCTCTATTTGAGAGATTAGCCAAATTTTTACATCAGTAGTGTTAGAATGTCATTTTTAAACGAAATGTAGCCTCGAGACAACATGGAATAGTCATTTAAACGGTAAAATAGAAGTTTATGTCGATCGATCTCTGTCTTTTTATTGTGAAGATGCTAAAAGTTCATTTTTGCTATCCACCATGTCTGCAGAGATTGAAAGCTTTATGATCACTGTGGTCGGTCATCGGTCTGTGTTATGATTCTAAGCCCCCGATACAGTCTGTGTACGTAGGGCTAAAATATAAAATGATATATTTGTAAGAAACGATATATGAAATTTCAGGACTTGTATCGTTGCGGATCTACAAAGGTAATTTGTTTGATGCCCGTAGCAGGTGGTCAATGGACTGCACCGCTTATTGGTGCAATTGTATTAGATCATCGGTGTTCTCGTTTGTATCTTTTAACCAGTTAATATTCACAAAAATACTAATTTTAAGTAACTGGGTGTTTATCTAGCTGCAATTTTTAAATGACGTGAACTAGCTCTGTTAATATCGTGATGATCTTCCATAATTTGCAGCCAAACACGGTGCGGCGCCATCTTTTAATATATAGTAGGTCACCTTGTCACAGCGCCATCTACGTCCAAGGTAGATTGTTTGTATCCATTTGTTTAAATGTGCGTTTGAGAGAACCAAATTATTATTGTTGCAAGGTTTTGGTGGATTTATGTGAACTGTATATTGTTTCATTGTAAAGTTTTTTTAGTCACTGTTTCAAGCGCAGCCTGAATAGCAGGCAATTAATTCTTATTTCCAGTTCCCGTCTGTGATGTTTCTAACATTTTCTCAGAAATTCTGCAGCAGATATTGATGAAACTTGGCAGGTTGATGAACAAGTCTCTGAAAATCCTCAGTGGGTCTTTTTCATGATTTTCATCCAAAACTACCTTTCCCTACACCACTGAGAGAACAAATGAGCATGCTCAGAATAAATAATTAGCTTAGATTGTAATGCTAGGGTTTAAGTGATATAATGACCTGGTCATGACCTTGATCTGAATCAGTGACAGATGGGTCATATCATTACCAATCTCAATGGAAACTGTAGAGGGGTGTCAGGGCTACATTTTGATGGGAATTATAGTGATGATACTGAAACAAACCCAGGTCCTGGTAATATACAAAGACCTGAATTAACAAAGAAGAAGATGTTTGCAGATGTTCCATGTATTATTTTAACATAAGTATTTTATAATTAAATAACGAGGCCTGTGACATTTATGTCTTGTTTTTGTATGTTTTTCACAGGATCTGGATTTGAAAGAAAATTTTGATGGCGACATAGTGCCTGCACTATACAACTCTATTACAGAGAAGACTTGCTGACTTTACTTAAATTTTTTTTTTACACTTTATTTTATCGAAAAAAAAAGTATGAATATAGAAGTATTTATTTCGACTTTGAATTTTTCATTGTACACAAAATAAAGTTTGTAATAAAAAAACTCAACACTAACAACTTTTTTTTCTGTGTGGATTTATGCAACTTTATTTGTACAAAAAGAGAATGATTCTGTTGCTAAGTGGTGATGTAGAAGGAAGTGCTGGTCCTACTTCAAACTGTGAAATAACAGGTAAATTAATGATTGCAGGTTTAATATGTTCATCAAGGTTCACCTAAATATTTGGGTACCACATCTGGAGCCAGTACATGCATGACAAACAGTCTTGTAACCTTGGTATAGTAAATGATTATGGATGCTGCTAACTGGAACAGTATGACTATTGGTAACAGACTAGATATGGGACATATTGTATTTAAAACTTATCTTAACAAGTCAATCCAGTATGTATTTACAGGTTGGTTGCTGATTTAAATGGCTACATTTCATACGAACCAAATCATTCTGGGTGCCTTTTTGAAGTTGACTTTGACTTTGACCTTGTCACTGCATTTCAGACATTGGACACTGCATTGAAAAATGTTTCGAAAGTATTCGTACTTGATCAGTGCACTGTTAACCATTTTCTTTTGTTTTTTTCATGTTATTTGTCATACTCTGTATGTACACTGTTTTGGTATTGGTATTTCACCACATTGTAAATACATTTCTTGAATATTGTCAAGACTAAGTTTGGAACATGAAGATTAATTTAAACAGAAACTGTCATTTACAATGACTTGTTGATCTTTGTTGCTTCAGTCCTGCGAATGATCTAAGGTGACTTTAACCTTTTCACCACCAGATTTTCTCGCCCAAATTCTTCTGCACTCTTTTTATATTCTTCAATATTTCTGGAAATGAACCCTAATTTTGGAGCCAACAGACAATTTGAGTCGATTTTCTGAAAGAAAACTCAGACTCGTCAAAAAAAAATACAGGTAAATTTTTGTGGCAAAATAGGTAATTTCCTATTCTGTCTTCAAGGCAGCACGTTCACCACTGTTTACGTAATTTACAAGTGTCACACGTGTTCAGCTTAGCGTCATTGACAATGAAACCAATGTTGCAATATTGTAGCAACCCATACCTGTGAGAAAGGTTGAAAGCACGTTGTTTTGGTTTCAAAAAAATATTTTGTAGCAGCTTGCAAATCCATAACTGGGGCCAGCAATTTTGCAATGTCACGCCAAAGCCTGCCAACTTTTTTACCATCTTTCATCATACCTATTGCATTTCTGTCATGAAAATTATTCTTCTGTCATGGAGAAAAAATTCTTTCCATTTCAAGCCCACCAAAATATCTGTAGTGAGACATTCCAAACCCCGGAACTTGCTGAATGGTAACTTCACCATGATTGATAAGTGTTCAAGTCTGATAAGAAGGCAATGTTGACTTGATCTCTATATTGAAAAACTAGTAGTGATATCAGTAAAGCAGATGCTTAAAGGTCAAAGATTGACAGACTATAACCAAAAACATTATCTGCTATTGTATCAGAATCGTTTGCACGCAACCCCAATTTTCTTGTCTGTTTGTGCAAAGAGGACAGTTTGAAGCAGGCAACGAGACAACACGTTATAGACTGGGCGAGTCAGGCCTGGGAAGCTGTATCTACTGATGTAGTCAGAAAGTCATTCCTGTTGACAGTCATTGCAAATGATTTAGATGATTCTCCTGATGACTTGATTTCTGGGAAAATTGTGTGCAACAACATCGATGAACTTCAGGACAAAGCTGTAGGGATTTTGTTTGACGTTGATGGCAACAGTGACGCTAACTTGGACTTTGATGGTTTTGACTTTGACGAAGATGGCAATGAACGTACAAATAGAGATCTGAGAACTATGCAATTTCGTAATTTTTACCGTGTAAATTATTATTGATCTTGTATGACAGTTTACCCAATATTTTAAAAACTGAAAATAATTTTACACAGAGTGACGTCTGACATTTTAGTTCATTTTGAGTTCACTTATATTGGGCGTGTTTGTGGGTGGGAAAATCATAATTCAAATGATTTGTCACATTATGTTTGTTATACTTCTAATGTTGCATATTGTTCAACTATTTTCTTTGCATGTTATCATTTATTGTTCTATTCCCTGTTGTAGTTTGATTTGCATGACTTTTCCCCTTTTTTGCAGGGGATGTTCGGGCATAGGCCCACCCCTATTTTTTGGCAATTTCCCATGTTCAGGACCCTGGGCACTTGCCCGAATAACTATGGTACTATCAAAAAAAAGTTTGGTGTAGTATTTGTTTTTACCTTGTTGGACAATCATCTTCCTACATATAGGTGCTCGCCATCAAAACTGAAATATAACACTTCATACTCTTTGTTTATTACACTCCAGGTCCCAGTATTGGACAATCAGGAACGGCATTTGGAACTGGAGCCACATTTGGTGGATTTGGCACTCTGGGATTAGGAACAGACTTCGGCAATAAAAGTGGATTAGGAACAATGTCAGGTTTAACTAGCAGTGTTAAACCTACTGGTTTTGGTACAAGTCTAGGTGGTAGTCTAAGTGCTGGGCCAACTACTGGAGCTACGTCATTTGGTGCATTCGGTACAACAGGTAAATACGTTCAAAATATCGTGGTACCCATTGTGATGTCAGATTGTGGCTCATCATATTTATCTTCAATAACTAGTTTGATAATGAGGCTAGTTAATTACTGCAATTCTACTTAATATCAAAATGACATTTATATTCTCCCCTCATAGGTTCTACATTTGGAGCTACCCCCTCAACTGCCACATCTAGTGGAAAACCATTTACATTGCAAAAACCACCAGGAAGTAAAAGAGGGAAAAAATGATGACCAATGGAAACTAGAGTTGTGCAACAAAAACATTGCGAGATATACAAGTATATGGATTAGATTGGCTGAATAAAATCTGTGCCAAGAGAAGTCTGGATTTATGCAGCAACCTGAACAAACAGTCAGACTGGTACCTCATGGACAAACTGTGAATAAATCAAAACGTGGTGAATGAACTGATAAGTTCAGGAACAAATCCACTGTACTGTAATTGTCTCGCAGATATCCAGGTTTTATAGCGATCTGTGTAACACAAATACATGTTATAAATGTATCACAAGGCATACAATTATACAAGTGGTATTGGATTATTTTAAGGATACCAACTTTGTACACACAAAGACACCACAGAGTGAGTAATAGCCTAATCGACTAGATTTGGTTGCGCAGTGCCTCAGTTAGACTCCTCAGCCAGCACACAATGAGTGCCCTGATTGGTTAGACTCCTCAGCCAGCACACAATGAGTGCCCTGATTGGTTAGACTCCTCAGCCAGCACACAATGAGTGCCCTGATTGGTTAGACTCCTCAGCCAGCACACAATGAGTGCCCTGATTGGTTAGACTCCTCAGCCAGCACACAATGAGTGCCCCGATTGGTTAGACTCCTCAGCCAGCACACAATGAGTGCCCAGATTGGTTAGACTCCTCAGCCAGCACACAATGAGTGCCATGATTGGTTAGACTCCTCAGCCAGCACACAATGAGTGCCCTGATTGGTTAGACTCCTCAGCCAGCACACAATAAATGCCCTGATTGGTTAGACTCCTCAGCCAACACACAATGAGTGCCCTGATTGGTTAGACTCCTCAGCCAGCACACAATAAATGCCTTGATTGGTTAGACTCCTCAGCCAGCACACAATAAATGCCCTGATTGGTTAGACTCCTCAGCCAGCACACAACGAGTGCCCTGATTGGTTAGACTCCTCAGCCAGCACACAATAAATGCCTTGATTGGTTAGACTCCTCAGCCAGCACACGATAAATGCTCTGATTGGTTAGACTCCTCAGCCAGCACACAATGAGTGCCCTGATTGGTTAGACTCCTCAGCCAGCACACAATGAGTGCCCTGATTGGTTAGACTCCTCAGCCAGCACACAATGAGTGCCCTGATTGGTTGGACTCCTCAGCCAGCACACAATGACTACCCTGATTGGTTAGACTCCTCAGCCAGCACACAATGAGTGCCCTGGTTGCTTAGACTCCTCAGCCAGCACACAATGAGTGCCCTGATTGGTTAGACTTCTTAACCAGCAAACAATGAGTGCTCTGATTGGTCAGTCAGTCACATGTTCAGGTTTTCTGTCCAACAAGAGAAACTTCCAAGATGCTTGTAATTTCATCACACTGCCAAACATTGTGACGTATACCATTAGATTACAAGCAAGCCAAACATGTATTTTAGCAGGAATCAAGAGCTGCCCATCAACATTGAGCAGATTTGGTATTGTGGGAAACTTTTCTAATGCTGTTTTTGACAGGACAACAACAACAACAACAACAATCTTACAGCTGGAGAGAATGGATGAATCTTGTGACGGTGTTTATGTGTTTCACATTTATTGTATGCGAACACTGAAATCAAATGAAATTAGTGTTTATAATAAAACATTTATTACAAATTTATTACATGTTTGTGTTGTGTACAATTTGTTTGATTACTTGAAATTTGATAAAACTTTCACAAAGAAGCCTAAATGTATATGTTAAGCGCAATTGCTGATGTTCAACCACTTCACAAAACTTTATTGGGAAGGGTTTTTATAAAGGGATAAAAATACTATTATACTATTAACAAATTTGGGTTGTTTTAACCCCCCCCCCCCCCCCCATACGATTTCATTGGGTATAGGTACATTTGGTAACACTTATTACCCATAAGTCTTTGGAGTTCTTAGTAAATTTACTATCTGTTAATGCACTGTGATTGGTCAAGATTTCATTTGAAATTTATGTTTTTTTATAAAAGAAAAAAAAAAAGGCTGTACCAGAGACAAGTGATTTGACCGGCCTCTTGTGGCTTGGTGTGCCACAACGCTTAAGGTGGGAACCAGGCAGCCAATCACCGAGTGAGTTAGACAGTGTAATTACAATACAGTGGCGATTCCGGGTAATCAAGATGAATGGACCTTCATGACTTGTATCTACACATTCCATTACATGTAAACGACAAGTCCAAGGGTAAGGTTCTGTTTGGCTTGATACACCAGACTTGTTTCACCATGTGGTCCTAGACTACCACTGGCTTGGATATCTCTGTATACACTAGCGCAGAGACTCGGTGTATTGGTATATGTAGGCATGTATCTTTCTATCTTCTATGTGTACTAGTACAGACCAAGGTACTTCGGCAAATTTGATGATTGATTTACGCGACTTCGTATGAGGGTCAAACAAATAGTATCATGGTGGAGTTGATTGGGTTTCAATACCAGGAAGTTAACTGTCCAGACCCCAGTAGCAACAATCTTGACAGCTGCTGGTTCAGGAAGTGATACAACATTGTCCTCACATGGGGCACAGATTGAAATAGATGGTGCAACAATAGTTACTGGGGTTTTTCAACAATTCCTTCTACTGTAAACACAGAAGTGACAAAAGGAATGGTGGCATAGTTTACCAACAATGCCTATGACAAAGAATGGAGAGGTAGTGGATTATCAACAATGAGTTCAACCTGGCGCAATAATAATGATGCCCAATTTCCATGACACTGATGTCAGGTTGAATCCGGAGCATAAGAATGCTTTATAATGGCTAGTATTATGATGGCAGTAACAAGTAGACTATTTGATCTATTTTTGCAGCCAAAGTACCTCTTTGATGACATTATCAATCCTCCAAGCATCTCAATACAGTGCTATGCATTTTGCTAGAAAGTCTCTGAGGGGGATATATCAGGTTACAACTTCCTTATTTGTACATGTTAGATAGCAATTTGCTAGTGACAATATGAACGTTGTGTTACTCAATTTTCATCAGAGTATATGCAAGTGATACAGTATGTTTTTTTTCAATTACAGCGTATATGTGAATTTGGCCATATATTATTGAGTCCAAAATTGTTCAATTGATGGGAAATCACCAATTTTGAACGTATTTTTAATTTAGAGAAATTTATTTTTATCTCAACACATGTGGGTAAATAGTAAATTTAATGGAGATTTTACAATAGTCATCAAGAGGAGATGTTGCTGGACAGGTAAAAACGGAAACATTCACAGAAGAGAGGCCTGTTCTGACTAGTCCTATAGATCAAATGTATACAATCCTATACCAAATATGGCCATCCCTGGACAAATTTGATGAAGCCAAGATCAAATGTGATCACAACTATAAATAGACGTTACCACACATCTTCCTCAGATAACTGTTCCAAATCTTCACACATTGCTCAGACTCAGCTTATACTTTCTGGAGTTTCTTGATTGGCTTCACTAATCAATTTGACTGCACTTGTGTTGTGTATCACTATATGTCTGTATCGGAACGCAATAAACCAACAGTTCAATTTTAAATCTGGTACAGAACACATTTCTGCACCTTTATTTTGACACTTATAATAAAGTGGGGATAATCTATAAAATTTCATAATGACAATCATATATCAAAATGCATTTATCCGATACGTTTTTTTAAAGATTTTCTGGTATCTTATTTGATATATTACAGGATAATTTTTGGAGTAGCTTGAATTGGTATATCAATAACATCATTGCATTACCTAGATATTCCTATAGAAGTGCTAATTCAGTGGTAATAATACATATCTTGCAAATTCCTCATAGGGATATTGCTTGTAGTCAAATGATCAATTAAGTGTATTTTGAAAACCTTTGAATTGTGGCTTATATTTGCTCTGCATTATTATAGTACATGTAGTCTATTTGCATAAATATTCCATTTGGATCTGAGTTGCATTATTGACCCAAAAAATTTCATTGACACGTCATTTCTAAATTTATTCAATACTATAGAATTGGTATTTAATAGCCTTATCATTGATATCAAATACAATATACATGTAGTAATATATACAATATAATGCATTATTTTTGTTATCCTACCCGCCACAAGTACTTTTACATTGACTTGACCAAATAAGGTTATTTTTAATGGGTCTATTTCTAACCCCATGTTTGATGCAAATCTAATAAACAGCATCTAAGCTATAGAATAGAGCTTGCTATAACATGATTATTTATTGTAGAGATGTGAGGCTTGCTGAAAAACAGGATGCTAGCTTGAACACTATTTGTGACATACTTATCCCCTGAGACTCTAAGATAAAATCCTGTGTGCCTGGACACTGAAAACTCAATCATTAATAAATCTACAGAAATGCTTGGTACCGGTAATAATTGCCCATTTACAAAAAGCTTCCGTCCCAGATATCTTGTGAACCCTGCAACTGCATTTATTACTTGACATAAAATGAAATACAGTTGGAAATACATCTCATTCATTTCTGTTTGACTCTCCATTATTCTGGATAAAAATAGCTAATAATACTCATTTCATTACTATAAATGATGTATTATCCTAATGTCAAGTAGAACTTGTTACACTGTATATATAGCATAGTCTACCTCAGGTAAAAATAAAACTCTAAAAACCGAACTTTTATTGGATACTGATTATATAATAAAATACCTGCAATTCCAAAAATATAAGAATGGAAAACCAGAAACTTGGTCCAATGTAAATAATATTACATTTTATTTTAAATACAGTGTGATCCAATTCACTATTATTTATATAAAGAAAAATTTCAAAATCAAACCCTTAACATTTTTTTAAAAATCAGCATCAAAGCCTGTATAGAACAGATAATCAGAATTAATGGCAATAATTTTGCGTGTACACCTGTGGTAGATGAAATATCTTTTTCCACACTTCAACATCGTACAACAAATAATTTTCCCATTCAATACTACAGTACGTCTAATTATATAACTCAATCTAACTTTCTTATTTTTTCAATATGATGCGATGAATAGGAAAATAATTTATCATCTCAACATATATAGACAAAATTATTTGTATGGGATTGAATTCTCATCAATCAATTTACAGATATATTCTTCTTCTCTGAACTCTCATGACCCTGAAGTGAAATTGGTGGCAATTTAAAGGCAAATCCAAGTCTTCTCTGAACCCACATAATCTCAAAGTGAGACTGTTGAAAATTAAAGGCAAATCCCAGATTTTGATCTCTGGACCACCATGACCCCCAAAGTGAGATTGGTGGCAATTAAAAGCAAATCCCAGTCTTCTCTGAGCCCACATGACCCCTGAAATGTGATTGTTAATAATTAAAGGCAAATCCCAGTTATCTCTGAACCCACGTTACCTCAAACAATGTCCATGATCATGAAAACTTTTCACTGTGAAATATAATTATCAGAAAATAATAACAATACATCACTCGTGTTATCCTTGTATACCTCATTAACAATTTATAATAAAAAAAAGTTGGAAGGATTACATATTAAAACTGATTTGCATTTGAAAGTTTATATTTTGGAAAAAACATGAAGTGTCTCTGATTTCCCATCGGGCCAACATTATTGTAATATTTGCGATATTTTACCAGAATAAGGTGATATCCTATTTTTTAGGAGTATTACTGCTTCAACAAACTAACAAATGGTAAATTTGCAACATTATTTCTTTCTTGAGACAACCAACTGTTTCATGAATGCACCACAAAAAAAATTTATTTGGAGGCAGAGGATGACACGGAACTCAAATAATCCAATACAGATCAATAACTGTTGTTTCTTTGTAGATCCCAATGTTCATTTCCATTACAAGAAAGAAAGCACTCGGCGGTATTGTCATAGCACTGTGCTGTAGTTATGACCCACACTTATTATGTATTACACATGTAATTGTCTATTGTCATGTAAATTATTCTGTGTCTGCTCTATTAGACATGCATCTCTATTAGAAGCACACATAACAAAAATTGCATTTATTGTGTACTGAATTATTAAAATAAGACTTATTTTGACCATAGACACACCTCTTATGTATTAAGCAAATGTGCTACTAACAATTTAATTTCAGATAAATGTGACTGGCATGAGTACTGGCATACACTATGACAAGTTCAATGAATATGTGTAGCACATTGTGTGTCATTTATCACAAAACTTAATATTAATTTGCACAAGACAAAGTTGTAGGATTCTGTCCATGGTTTTACTATGGGTACAACACGATTTCCAATGTCTTTATTGCTAAAGGATTCAATCTCTTCACAACTAGTGCTTTGCATTTTGGGTTTCCATAGCAACAATTTGTAGAATGGGCAAAACAAGCTGAAATGCATCTTGAATATATGAAGCACTGTTTGATGCCTGGAAGTAAGAAAACCAAATTCAAAGTTAATAAACTGTGAAATGCAATATGATAAGTAGATCGACTGGTCACATCAAAACTGTTGTGCTGGTATCAGATGATAATGATTATAAACAAGGAGCATGTGTAATTGGTATTAATTTAATAAATAACAGGTTTGAACAATACCATGCATTTCTGAGATCTGGTTGCGGAATAATAAAAAATGCTTATTTTAATAATTTTTTTACATGGAAAAAGACCACGATAAAGGCAAATTTGAATTAGATCATGAAATGAATGGACATGCTTACATGTATGTATACCAAGATGGATCATGAATGTGTGAAAATTAAATGAAATTGATCCAGGCATGTCTGAAATACAGGTGGGGGCAGCACACATGGATGTTCAGAGGGTACAGGTTAAGTCAATGTTTTTGGACTGTATCCAAAAGAGTATCCAAAATTGTGGAAAGAATTACCTCAAGATATACGTTAGTTATGAATGGATTGACGGTTGATGGATTCTCGCACCATTCAGCGGAGATGTTCAGGCATTCTCCAAACTTAGTTGATAACACCGCCACTTCAGAACACAGCGCTGATGTCAACCTGACAAGTAATGGACACAATGTATGAGAAGACTACATGAATACAGTTTTTTGGGAAGACAACGAAGAGTGGTAAGATTCATGTAGAGAGTCCTTTGTAGGAAATGTACACAAAATTAGAAAAATTGCACAAATGCATAACGATATGTACATGTACCAGTACGAATAATTCAAAGTGAATTTGTGTACATTAATCATTCCACAAAATCAATATCACATGGCAAGCAGTGTATACAGCATTAAAATATGATCAAATTACACTTTCACAATCACTATGTGACAGCGCCCCCAGTGGCAGCTATTGTATTTATACTCACTTTGATAGACTCATTGCCCGTTCTATCGGTTTCTTTTCTTGACCTTTCACCTGTTGTAACAGCATTAACTCAGATGCTTTGTGAAACTGCTCAATCGACTTAGCAGTCAATTCGGCCAATGTTTGAATAGCTACCATATGTATATCCTTTCAAGACATGAAAACAATTAGTACATTTTTGGGTTGTACTGTGTATTATACATCTGTCACCGTAATGCCATAAATTTTGCGGTATTTTACAGGGTATTTTCATCCTACCATATTAAGAAATGCAAATTCCAAATATGGGATGATTACGCAAGTAAGCGTTCTCTAATAATAAAAACAAACATGGCTGCCACCAGGGTTTGACCAGACTCCACAGAAAGAAGTTCGCTGATTCTGTTACAAACTTCGGCATGCTCATGATGTATCCTTAGAAGAAAAGGATGTATAATAATCAGGTTTTTAAGAGGATACATCAAAGTATGTACTCAGACAGTACGCGGTCGCAATGACCTCCGCCGTGCACCGGTCGATACTTCCGCTGTACTTTCTACTTTGAGGTGCCCTTGTAATAACCTCATATTATACAGAACAAAGCATATCGCGCATAACAGAGCATATTGCACAGTGTATTGCATAGAGCATATTGCACACAGCAAAATGTGTTGAGTGTATTGCAAAATGCATGGGCACAATATAAATCTTTTGGAAATAAATTGGGGTGGTTCCATGTGTCTGCATTTCACACACACTTTACAATGGACACTATATCATGTGGTATACAAGAACATCAATTTAATGTGAATACCTTTGGTTCCCTTTTTTGTTTCTCTTCCAAATCCTTTGTACAGAGTGTCAACCAATCATGTGCTTTTGTTTGTATCTACAAGAGAACACATGGTCAGATGTGACAAAATTGCAGATGCATATGTCAGCCACTTGTAGACTTGTTGATTTACAGAGCCGTACTATGCATACCCACATTTTCCACTATTAAGTAACTTGCCAGGACTTCACAGTACATGTACTTCAATTCGATATTTACCTTTTATATGACATTTCAGATATTAAGTATACCAGTAAAATATACATATGGTAAGTACAGGAGCAATCAATAAAGAATGTTTTGTATACCTGTTTAAGTTTATCTGGCGTGGCTCCAATACTCAGACTAAAGAGATGTTCTGTGATGGCATGAACAAACTCCTCATCACTAAGCTGCTCTGTAATAGATAAAATAATATTATGTAAACCTTGAAATCCATGATATATGCCATCTAGTTTAGCCAGGATGTGAATTTCAGCCAAGAGCAGACCAAATTCTGTTATTTCTGTTGCCTATTTCCAACACAGAAAGTATACCAAAAACATATAAATATAAATAGTCAAAACAACTATTACGAAATACTTATCAATGTTTGCCATCAGCTGGACTTAAACACCTCATTAACATAATGTACTATAGAAATAACCTCATTAACATAATGTGCCACTGAAAACACCTCATTAACATAATGTACTACTGAATACACCTCATTAACATAATGTGCTACTGAAAACACCTCATTAACATAATGTAATATTTATTAGAAACATACCTTGGTTTTCATCAATGTCATCCAAATGAAAAGCGTCTTTAATTTCAATTAACTCAGTTTTCAAACTTTCTAAGTCGTCTCCAGACAGAGATCCCAACACAGTTTGAACTTTGTTTTCACTCTGATTGGATAACATTTCCAGCGCTTCCAAGTGGGCAAGACCTATGTGAACAACAAATATCAGTGTTCTGTGCATTGTGGTAGGGAGACATGAAAAGCGGGTAAATAAAATTGACAGCAGGACTACAATGGTGAAAAGATTCCCACATTGTACTTGGGTACCTTGTGTTCACTGGTATTTTCACACAACTTTTGTCACCTTTCACAAAATATAAAATTCTTTCCTTTTTAAAAAAATATCTTGATCAAGATATGTAGCTAATTGGAAATGGTTAAAAAATAACAAAGAAATTATGGAAAAATTCATAAAGAATTCGCAAAATGTATCAACAACATTTTGATGTGAAAAATTAGCAGTCGTCTGACAACCAAAATTCAAGGTGCAATATTTTTTGCTATAATTTTTGGTACTTTTGGAACAAATGAAAATAATTCTTTTAAAGTTTTTCAAAATCTCAAAACTATGAAAACAAATATGCAGGTTTCTTTCATAAAAGTCAATAAAATTTGTCTTCTGTTCCAATGGGTAATACATCTCATACATACCTTGATACTCATCAAATAATAATCCAAAGTGAGCTTTCTTTTGTTCTTCCTCTTCATGTTGCTCCTTATTTTGCCTTTCCGCTTCCTCTTTGGCTTCCCTCAATAGCTTATATCCAAAAAAAAAAGTTTGCCATGATAAAATAAATTGTCTTTACTACTAGTACAACTTATAACTCAGTAACCAACAGACAAATTACGACTCCATCATTAAAAAGTAGACACTTGTTATTTGCATATACTTCTCATCAAGGGAATATACCACACTGGAGCAAAAACTATTGGTATCATAAGAAAATTATACAATCAATTATTATACAATGTATTTTGCACATTCCCTGGAGATATGAACTTTGGGGCTTTCTTTCTTACCATTGATAAATTAACTTTATCTCCCATGGTGACTTCTTTAAAATATTTTCTTTTTTTCCTCAACCCTGGATCGCTTTCTTGTAACACATCCATTGTCTTTTTTCCAATCTTTTCAAGTGCTTCTATACCACCTGTCACCTGTCAAGTAAATCAACAGTTTCACAATTTTTGTTATTTTCTGTTTTTACTTTGAGCCCAATTACGGAAATGAAAGCTAAAGCTCTTAATGTCACACATGATCGTCTGTAATTATGTTTAAAGCGAAGGAGTCGTCATTGTTTACAAACAAGTGTCTACCCACGAGTCTTTGCGTTCTTAGTGCGTGTCTATCGTCGCTTGTGACTCAATTCCCGCATGTGCGCAGGTGACACCCTCCCGATTTAACAAATTGCTACTGTTTTATTATTCAAGAGACAATTTAAATAAACATGAAAATGGAGTTTTGCACTAAAATGATACTAAAATACAATTCAGAGTTTCATATTTCTTTTTTATTGTAGAGGGAGTACTCACAGTTCTTTCAACAACACTTGTAATTGCGGTTACTCCAAATGCAGCAAAGAATCCACCATCTCCATCACCAGAAGAACTCCCACTGGAAGGATCTGCTTCTTTACTTCGGACATCTTTCTGTTCATCTGACATCTTACTTTCTTGAACATGGTCTTTGTTTTCTTCAATGATATCTTCTGGAGCTGGCACACCCATCTGTGCTTCCACATTTTCCATCATCGTGGTTAAGCTTTCACCTAATCATATATATTTATCAATTTATTTGGCTTTGAAAGGGTTGAAAGTTAGCTTTGAAAGCTTGAGACTTGGCTTTGAAAAGGTTTAAAGTTGGCTTTGAAAGCTTGAGATTTGGCTTTGAAAGGGTTGAAAGTTAGCTTTGAAAGCTTGAGACTTGGCTTTGAAAAGGTTTAAAGTTGGCTTTGAAAGCTTGAGATTTGGCTTTGAAAGGGTTGAAAGTTAGCTTTGAAGGCTTGAGATTTGGCTTTGAAAGGGTTTAAAGTTGGCTTTGAAAGCTTGAGATTTGGCTTTGAAAGGGTTTGAAGTTGGCTTTGAAAGCTTGAGACTTGGCTTTGAAAGGGTTGAAAGTTGGCTTTGAAAGATTTGATTTTGCTTTGAAAGAGTAGAAAGCTGGTTTTGAATGGGTTGAAAATGAGCTTTGAAAGACTGAGAGTTGTTTTGAATGAATGAATCAAGGTTGAATTGGTTTTGAAAAGTTTGCTTAAAAAAGGGTTGAAGTTTGCTTTGGAAAGGGTTGAAAGTTGAAAAGTCTCAGTAAATTAGTGATGGTGGCACACAAAGGCAGTTTATATTCTTCAGAATAAATTAAACTTGACCAATGCCATTAACTTAGGTAAATGTATAATGTAATAATCTGTAGGTTAACAACAACACTAATTTTCACAATCATGCCTGATAACAGATAGGAAGATCACCATGACAACAGTCCTCACAGACAAGAAAAATTTAAATTAGCTTAAGATTGAAATATTTACAAAACTAATATTCCACATTCAGAGTGAGCCTGGGACTAGTTGCTGTACGTTGCTGTACATTGCCGTACATGGTTTCCGGAGGCCACAAAAACTAGTCAGATGTTCCAAATAATAACAATGCAGCATGAGAACTTCGGCTTGTAATAAATCCTGTGTACATCTATTATTAAATACAAAAAGGTTTATAGGGTATATAAACTCCATACCTGCTTTTTGTGTAAATGAAGACACAGATGCTGTTGCTGTGGATAACCATGAGGACCCCCATCCTCCCCACGATGATGATGCTGCCGAAGTACAAGTATCGCTTACACTTTCATTGTCAGCCAATGTATCCAATGTATTATGGATTTTTTGTTCTGTAGACAATGGTGGTGCTCTTTCTTCATTTGTGATCACATTATCCGCTGGTTCTTTCATATCTAACGTATCCTTTTTCTCATCCTTCTCTAGCTCATCATTTTTACCTGTAGCGTCACTAGATTTATTAACATTATCCATCTCATCCACAGTTTTCATTTCATTTTCTGCCTCTTCCACAGTCTTCTTCTCTGACTCAGAATCTGTTCTATTATTTTGTTTCACATCATGAGACGGTCCCTTATCAGTGTTTTTGCTACCAACAGTTTTGCCAGATTCTGCAGCTGAGTCAGTTTTCTTCTTTATCTGCACCTCAGTCTCCGTAGCAACCAGAGTCGCACCTTCATCTGCACTCTCATATGCTCCCTCCTCATCACTACTGGACATACTTGCTTCCTATTTTTCACACACCTGTAAGAGAAAAAAATAAAAAAAAATTAAATAACATGCGTCATAACAACTTGCATACACAAAGGATTACAGAGAGAAATTAATTCTGCAATCAATGAGTTCAGAATACCAAATGTAATCAAGCTGCAGTATTAATACTAACTATACTAACAAGATGATCAACTATAGAGAAAAATTGAAGACATTATTATCATCTATAAGGAAATTTGTATCAATGCAATTACTTGCGTATCACAGTGTATACCTTAGGTGAATATTTAAATGAAGTAACAGCTGTAGTCCAGCAGCTTGTACCTGTACGAATGAATCATAACAAACCGGCACGTGAGAGTGAAATTAATATAAAATATAATGTTGCATATGATACCATGTGTACAATAGGTCATAGGTTGCAACCAACCTTATAATGTATATGGTTCTCATCACCTAAGCACAATTCTCTAAAAACTTGAAATTATAATGTTTTAGTGATCTGATTTGCATAATCTACCTTTACCAAACAATGCACCAAATGACAACAAAACTCTGTTTTGAGACACTATAGAAATATTATACAACTGATAATTCAAATCATGTAAAACACACACCACATACAGTGGTAATAATGATGGTATATTGCATAATTCTATAATATTATTCTATACATGTAGTTGTGTTTTAATTGCTCAGTACATGTAATTTTAGTGTAAAGTTAATTTAGTTAACACTGGAGCAAGTGTGTATCAAACAGAATTGTATATTTGCCATATGAAAAAAACAAAATGTAAAGCCATACAAGTCAGTCTGTCTGTCAGTAAGTAAGTCATGGGTGGCGGATTGGCAAGGAAAGGAGGTTTGCATGTGATATAGAAAAGATTTCTTGTCATTTCCTAAAAGCTTACCATATAAATGTCCTATCACCAAACCTATTGAGAACTTTGGATGGTTATTTAAGTGTATTCTTGAAGATGCGTCAAGGACCATGTGTGTTTTGAATTCACAAAAACGCGTCTCTCAGACACCAACTCATCCCGGTTGTACAAGAGTCGGTGTGTTTTCTAAACCAACATGACACTTCACAGTCACACAAAGATTTTCTGTGAGGCAATTAGTTGTGCTAATTTATTGATACATATAAAACATGAATTTCATGGAGGCATCAAAGTTCATCGCCTTGATTCCAAATGAGTTTGCCTTATATTCTCTATGTTATTACATATATATAGGCCATTTTATAAATGTTGACCTTGAAAAAAGGTGCCTTCCCAATTCTGAAGTTCAAGCCCTGCTCTATCATTTATATTTATAAATATACGAGCTACTATTATGTATTACATATTATTATATTATGAAGAATGTGGGAATGTGCTCTTTCTACTTTCTTCATTAGTGTGTTAAAGCAAGATCCATTATTATCCAACGTAACTCCAATATATTGCCACAGTTCCTCTATCACTGGAGATAGTGGGACTGAGGTATACTAACAATTCATGTATTTGTAAAATACGTGCATATGACTAATATATTGCATGAAACAATACTTTTAATTTTATTGGTAAGTTGCAACATGCCAATCTTAAGTTAAAACCTTAATACCACCTTACCTTTCACTGAATGTCATTGCATTCACAATACATGGCGTGGATGTATGGCGACAGTAATATTTCTAATATTTCTGAGCACTCGCGATGCAACAAGCAGTGAATTTTATATTTTGGAATCATAATTGATATTTTATATAATACACAAAACGAACTCCTACCTGTTTTAGCAGAAAACTCCACCAGGGAAAGATTCAAAACAAAAAGCCACGTCATTCATACCAGCTCGGATATCGTTCCCTCAAAATCGCCTATTCGTTATGTTTACTTCCGGGTTATTTCAACATCGCAAAAGTGCACGCCTTAGCCAATCAAAAGAGCTGTGACATAGTGAATTTTGAAATAGGGGTCTCTCGATTGATGTTTATATCGCTCAAACAAGAACCCCTCTAAAGAAAAATGACCTCAGGGTCAGGCGCATGAATATTCCTTTAGTGTGAACAAACCACATAAAATTTAGTGCAAATATATGTGAGCGAATATCTCGCCATTCATATCTAAATTTTAAGTGTTGAACATTGATATATTTTATTAAATAGTTCATATTCGTGAAAGAGAGGCCTTTTTTCCAAAACATTACGTTTATTTAATAATAATATTCGTGCGGAAGAATATGGGGGTTCACCCTAAACTATACGTGAGAAGGCCGCTGAAAGGAAGAGTTCTCGCAGGGGGAATCCAGCCTTTTACAACTTATTGAGGACGATATTTTATCGGATTTATCGTATATGTTGCAGGTAATGAAATATTGTTAACTCAAGCTCACCTTTTTAAAAAAAAATGGCGGCAGATAGTCAGGCAAAGTATGTCTCTGCTTGGTGTTACATCAGGGAACCATACAAGTTCAATCGCCTCTGCGGGTTTACACGGAGTTTGCAGACGATCAGATTGGTCATTTTGGTCAAAAGGTCACTCAGTCTCTGCGCACTGTATATTTTGCAGGAAGTACGTTTAATTAGGTGGTCAGAGCCATGCAGGATATTTTTTATAGCTGTGCTGGTTGTCGTCAAAAGGTTCCGGAAATAAATATCGCACTCGATATCATGTCAGTTTATGACTTGACACCTACGCATAGTAATAACCATGGGCAAATGCCTACTTGAAAAAAACAAAACAAACCATTTCAGATAGTGCGTGTTGTGTAAATATTTAGTAAGACTCGAGGGAAAGGCACTGTGCTTATGATACATAATGATACATTGAGAGGGGCAACTACTAAATAATTGTCATCCTTTGGGTATTTGTGTATGCTTTTGTCACTTATTTTTTCTCTATTTCTCTATTAAAGTTGCATTCCCACTTTGTAAATATTCAAAATAATATATATGGATTACTATGAGAGATATTTGAAGTTACAAAAGTACGCGAATAACAAGAAAACGACCCTGAAACTTTATTTTAGGTGGGCCACCTAAATTATTAGCCGAAGACCAACGAACAAATATCGGCGTGCTTTCCGCGCGGTCCACTCCAATTCAAATCTCACCAATAAGGTGAAGGCAGTTCATCTCAAAACCCCGACTGCTGCTCATAAATATTCAGACAATTAATAAGTGCACATTTGGGGGTGAACTATCGGGTGAATAATACTGCACAAAATATTTGGTAAATGTTTTATGCCGTCTGGCAAGTCAAATACGCTGTGTGAATAGTAGAAAGAGTAGAAAACAGCGTACAAATCAGCATACAATGTCGAACTAGAAATAGTGTTCTAACATTCGATTGTGGAATGGTGGTCGCCAAAAATAATCTGAACGGTTCGGCAGTGACCGACTATTCGCATTTTTGGCCAGATTTCTCATTATAAGTGCACTTTCGTTCCTTCAAATATCACTTATAGGAATTCATATATAGCATTTAACATTTGGGTAGGAATGCAACTTTAATGTGACTGCAAGAAAGAATAGAACAGCAATACTGCAGTAGCAATACTATTCAATTCTATCCTAAGATGAACTGAATTACATGCAATAAAATTCTTTGCTGAACAGAAACATTTTCTTCATACATGGCAACACTGCATATATATATTGAATTATGTTGCTCTGCTGTCATCAAAGAATTTAAATCCTACTTTTGCAATTTTGCTAATGATTTTCCCATCAAAGATGACCGAGCAGGGCTGGGATTGTCCTGACCACTAAACAAACAAACAATGTTGGGCGGTTACACTCACGATTTTCGCCAAACAACAGGTTGAATCAGAATATTAGTGATAGAGCTATTTTGACCATCATGTCATTTTGCATATTATTATTGAAATTAAAGACGACTGCGATTACATTGTGCAGCATTACATTCTTTTTTCTTCCCTGTTATCAACTAATAAAGGGAATTATTGTTCATGATTTCATCTAGCAATGACTTAGAACAATTATCAAAGCCTGTATATATGTATATGGCACAGGTGTTGTAAACGACACACGGTTATGGTAACTTGTGTTCACCAGATAGAAATTGCAGGGATTTTATAAATAAGGGTGCAGTGCTCTCATGCTATGGCCAATCACCCCCTTACCCTGGGGAACAGATTGTCTGGCAACCATAAAATTCTGATTGACCAGGGATCACATGATAGTAATTTGTTTGGCCGCAAGAAAGCCATAGAATATTTAAAATTATCAAAAACTCCACACCTGGTAGGGAGAACCCTATCTTCTCCACTTGGTGGCGCCGCTGAATTGCAGTGCTTCCTTTTGCATTTTTTTTCTAGAAAAAGCCCTGAAATTGCATCACAAAATGTAACACAGTGGTATAACAATAAATATTAGTGATGGTTTGCAACATTAATGACAAGAAATAATGGTGTACACATGCCTTGCCTGATTTTATAAATACTTGTAATGTTTTGTTTATGTTGTTAGACCGATTTCAAACAAAGTTGTCTTCACTCAGTGAGCATGTTATCATGCCGAATACTATCCAAAAATTATAATCCACTAATTTCATAGTTCTCTCAGTCACTAAAACTGATCATTGATTGACAATGATTTTAATTATAATAATACTGAAAGTGCATACTATCCACCATGAAAATTAACAAATTACATCACTGCCTTAGGGAAGAGTAGGAAATCAAACTCGCGGTTTACCGCGGTCATTACCGCGGTGGTGGTGGGTGCTCGCCGGTCGACCGCATTTTATGCAAATTTATGCATAGATTCCATGACCCCGGTTTACCGCGGTCATGTGCGGTAGGCTCGCATGGCAATTTACACCCTATTGTTAAGACTATGAATGGACACAATAGACTGGGAAACTAAAGGTTACTTGCCGCCAAGTTCAAATAATAAAATCGAGTGGTACCAGAAGATTGGAAAAATCGTCTATATTAGTTTGCAGAAGAACACTATTTTATTTTCACGAGTCTTGGTACAACATCGCAAAGTAACCCAGAATAATGTAGACCCCACATAATGTAAAATATTATCACATTATTTTGAATTTACATCATGTATAGTCTCAGGATTTATTTTAAAAGATTAATGTTTCGCGTATACCAATATAATCGGGCGAAGTACAAATTCCGAGTGTAAAACACTCGATGAGAGGCCGCAGTTTACGTTACCTCGAGACCATGCACTAAGTAGGAAAAGCAATACAATATATACTACAACAACTGGGTGATCAGCAAAAAAAATAGCGCACTTCTTGGTGAAACTGACTAATCTAATAAACCTTGGCCCAAGTTTAACCCCAAGTCACGCGCTGAACAAGTGGGTTGTTATCTTGGTGACCATTCGCGCTCCGCGCGTTGACCTTTTTGTTATACACATCCCATTACGCAAATTTTTACTGGTTCTGCGTTGCCTACGTAAAAATTGTTACCGTTCTGGTTGTGAATATTTCACCATTGCCGACGTGATAATGCGTTGCCTTCG